TCGTCGCGCCTCTAATAAAGTGTTCCCATGACATGACTGGCAGCGCCGGCACCTAGGCTCCGGCAAGCCAGTATCGCTGGGGGCTGTGAGTGCCAAGAATCGTCCACGGCAAACCAGAGTTGCCGGGGGCTGCAATATCAGATAAGTCTTTCATCCCTCATCATGCATCCTCTTATGGACTGGGGAATGCGAAACCGCGTTTCTTCCCGAAAACTGCCGTGCTCCCTCAACTCTAGGCCCTGGGGCTCGTTCCCGGGGCCAAGTTTGGTCGTAGTCGCGGCAGCAAAGGGATGAAACGAGGAGACCGCACCCACCTTGTTCCCGCCTCCGTCAAAGGCGTGAGAAAGGACGAGCGACGTGGGAAGGCGGCAGGGCCTGTTGCCGGGAGATGAAATGTCTGTCCGAGGGATACCAAGGATTTGCTCCTTGGCGTGGGTTCAACCCGCGAGACAAATAACCCGGCAAGCATCCCCCCTTTTCATTAAAAAAAACATCCCACTCAGGTACAGTACATAGAGGATGAAAAACATGAAAGAGAGGATTACAAGTTTTAGATGCAGCTAAGGCCCGAAGGCTTACAAATTAAAAATATAAGATGCCCGTAATCCCTTTCCTGTCCCTCTCTTCAGGAGGCAGGTCAAGGAGGCGAAAAGGGAAAAAGGAGCGCCTAGGCGAACTACGGGTGCCAGAAGACACCAAGAGAACATCCCGGGGGCCGTCCGAAGGCTGGACGGCGATGGCGACGCTGGAAGCGGGGCTCGAAGACGGGGCGGCAGGACGTCAGCACGCTGTCGAGGGCACCACGCCCTCGTACTCCGACCTGACGGCCTTGTCGCCAGCCCTCTTCCCCTTCCGCAGCCTCCCTACGCCAGCCGCCCAAGGAGACGACCCCGGGGAGTTCAAGGAGCCGGCGACACGGATGATGGGGTTGCCGGTGCCGCGCGAAGCGGCGCCCGACGCCTAGTCGGACCCGTCACCCCGCCGCCCGCTACCCTCATCGTCGCTGTCGCTCTCCTCCTCGTCACTCTCGCTCGAGGAGGAGCCTTCGCTATCGGAGGAGCTGTCCACGCAGCACTTCGCCCGAGTGCCGAAGCACCCGAAGACTTTGACGGAGAGGAGATCGCCCTCCATCAACTTAAAATGGAGGGTGAACCCCTCCATTAGGCTGTGGATACGGGCGAACGTCTTCCACCCTCGATCAAGATACATCACATTAGGGGCTGGGAATACAACACGGACTCGCGTGCCGCTGATCACACAGCCCCTCATGTGCAGCCTCAGTGTCTCGGGCGGGTCCAACTCCATCGCACTCGCAAACGGAGCTGGAAGCCGGAGGCGACGACGAGGAGCCCGGCGCAGCTTGACGAAGAACTCGCAAGGGTCGTCCCCTATATGGACCACCGTGGGGGGAGGAGCCGGCGGCGGAGGCGAAGCTGCCGCGCCGCGCCGCCCGCCTCTTCCCTGAGCGCCTCGACCTCGTCCTCGACCTCGTCCGCGACCTCACCCCCTCCCTCTTCCCCTTATGGCTGGCTCTGCCACCACGGGCGCGGGAGAGGGAGAGGTGCGCTGTCTGGCGGCGACCTTCGCCGCCACCGATGAAGGGCCTGGGTTCCCTTTCTCCATAGCGAATGAGAGAAAGGGGAGCAGAAGCTGAAGAAAGGAGGAGATGAGAGAGTGCGGGTTTCTGTGCTCCCCTCCCGCTCTTTATAAAGGAGCGAGGTGGGGGCTCGGCCGCCCCGCTCAGCAAATCAAGGCACGGGAAGAGCAGGGAGTCAGGGCCAAACCGCTGCCTCTGCTCGCGACGGCCCAGTCTCCCACTTCCACCGTCCACGACTCCAAGCGCATGGGAGCCGCGTGGCGGGGATGCAGAACCAATGCGACGGATGAGGCGGCCTCGCTCCGCCTCGTGAGCGCGGGGAGTGGACCTCCCGAAAATCGCGCACCGGCCCCGTCCAGTAAATGCACCACGCCCCCACGCCTACCTCCGTTGAGGGAGGAGGGCGTGAACCGTCCCCATCATCATGGCCTGACGCATGCTCGAGGGGCTTAGCCCCGCGCACGCCGCCTGCGTCACCCACGACGCCGCGTTTGACGCGTGCCGTTCTGGGCGTGCGCGGTGGGAGCGGAGAGATATGCGGCGTGACTTAGGCCGCGCGTGCCCGTGCACTGTTTTGGGCCTGGCCCAACAGCGCTCGGCACCGTGTCTGGCCCAGGCCCGGGGGCTCCTGTCGGTGTACTAGAGTAGGGGTACCCTAGTACCCCGAACTTGTGCACGGGCGGTCGCAGCATCCCGCGACAAGGCTTGCCGGGTGACCGCCAAGACCCTCCGTGGTTCCCTTGAAGACCATTCAAGAACAAAGTACTCAAACCAAGACCCCGGCAAGAGGAGCTTGCCAGGAAGGCCAACCAAGGCCCCGGCAAGAGGAGCTTGCCGGGAAGGCCGACCCAGGCCCCGGCAAGAGGATCTTGCCGGGAAGAGACAAGACCCCGGCAAGAGGAGCTTGCAGGGGAGGCCACTCAAGGCATACCAAGAAAGCTTGCCGCAACGCGCCGCGCGTCCCGGCAAGGCCCGGTGAGCGACAAGCTCCCAAACACGACAAAATGACGACCGCGGCAAGGAGCTTGCCGCGGGAAACCCCCACTTCGTGCCCGCGCTCCAGCTCACCTGCCAACGTGTCGCTCTAGGACTCTCCCAAGCGCACGTGGCAGGAGGCCGTGCAGCTAGGGGTGCGCGGTGGCAAGCAGGGGCTGACAAGATAACCATCGTGGCAAACGGTGGCGTCCCTAGCGGTCCGTTTCGGTACTGTGTAGGCGACACAGACGGGCATTCAATGCCCTTGTCCCCTGCCGTCAGAGTTAGGTAGGGTGCACTGTGTCCACAGTAGCGGTAGCTGCACCTACCGCATCCTTTTCCATTTTTACCCTTCTAGTCTACGTTGCCACCTGTCGGTGACCCCTTGAAAGTATAAAAGGAGGCCCAGGCGCAACGTAGAGGAGGTTCGACTCATTCGGGGTTCGACTCATTCGGGGTTCGGCTCATTCGAAACACCAGGAACACTCTCACGCTCGGTCTGGCAGCGTCCATCGCTCCTGAGCAAGAATTCAATACACACAAACAAGCAGCAGTAGGGTTTTACGCATCCGTGCGGCCCGAAGCTGGGTAAAAACTGCTCGCGTGTACCGCCTCGATCCGCTCTTTGTGCGCTCTCCGCCTCCCACCGAACCGAAAGGGGCCCTGTCCCCATAGGTGTTGGTGGATCAGTCTCCCCCCGACAGGCCAGAACGAGCCCGGTTCGATAAGGCCTAAAACCGCCGCGAGAGGTTAGCACGCATGTACCGATGTACTCCCTCCGTTCCTAAATATTTGTCTTTCTAGACATTTCAAATGACTACTACATACGGATGTATGTAGACATATTTTAGAGTGTAGATTCACTCATTTTGCTTGGTATGTAGTCACTTGTTGAAATGCCTAGAAAGACAAGTATTTAGGAACGGAGGGAGTACGTACGGAGGCCGGCCGGGATAAGCCTAGCTCGCCGCCCGCCTTGGAGAGCTCGATCGGTGCGGTGGAATTCGGTCTCATCGACTGGGCATGCGATTTGTCCACACGTAGTACTCCTACTTGACCACTGACTGACTGGCCAGACCGGTGACTTACTTTGCTGGTGCGTACGCCTCGCGCTTGCTCTGTGCATGCATGCATGTAGGCGGCGGCTCCGGGCCTGTCGCGTTCCGGCACGCCCTTAAAGCTGATGGATGGACTATGCGCCACGGAAGAAGGGCTACGCGGCGCCGTAGGAAACCCCTACGCGCGCGCGCTACGCTACCGTCCACGTACCGAGGGCCTCTTGACACTCGTCAAGGACCAGCCAGCAGCCACCGGCCTCCACTGGATCGGATCGCCATCTCTTGGTTGGTTTGGCTCTTGCATGCATGGCAGCATGGCGCTGACCGCTCGAGACCGATCGAGCACGCGAAGGCCGCATGCATGCATGCAGGGGCCACCGTACAGGCTACTCCCTCCGTTCCTAAATACTTGTCTTTCTAGTCATTTCAATAAGTGACTACATACGGAGCAAAATGAGTGAATCTACACTTTAAAATATGTCTACATACATTCGTATGTAGTAGTCATTTAAAATGTCTAGAAAGACAAGTATTTAGGAACGGAGGGAGTACATGGCTAAGCGGCCACACGGCAGTGATCGATCTTCTTATCACCGGTCCGCCGCTGCTGCAGGTGCTGCTGCAGGGCGCGCAAGAGCACAAGTTGTAGGTCAGTCAAATACGCCATGGAGCCGACCCAAGTGCGGCAGCCTAACGATCGACGGCGCCAGGGCAAGCGGACAAAGGTTCGGCCCTGGCGTATTGGTTGTTGCCTACCGCCCCCGCCGTGCCGTGTGTCTACGCGCGCGACGTCACGCGTGCATGCGCCAACGACAAACACTCTCCACGTAGCTAGTATATTCTTCCGTCACGATCAATCAGGCTGTAAAATAGATATACAGTACTAGTACTGTAGTATAAAGCCTGGGTACGTGTGTGTCTTGATCTGTTGCGTTTACGTGCGTACGTGCCTGCTGCAGCGCAGAGAGATGCTATGCTATATGCTTCTTGTCAAACGGGTGGTTCTTTCGCATCCAACGGTCAGGTCAGTGTCCTTGGATGGAAGCAGCCATGGCTGGATGGATAGATAATGTAGCTGCTGCTGCTGCTACGTCCAAAAGGGTATCAGGGCCGGACGACGGACAGCCCAGATGCATCGCCCAAAGCGGTCAAAAAAGACGGCCAGGTGTCGACCACGCACCGGCGCTCCCGGACGCGGCAAATGCTCAACGAATATATGCAGGCCCGCCCCGCCCCGCACGTATCAACAAACAAACCATCTCAAAGCCTTTGCTTGCTATACATGATAATACATACACTTCTTGTTTCAAATGTCTCTCTCGAAATTATTTACGAGCTCTTAATTGATTGAACACATGCATGCTGGGTAATTAAGTTAAACTGCGCGGGGTACATTTGCTGCTGCCGATCATCTGCGCTGGAAGTTGAGGTTCCTGATGGCGAGGGCGAAGACGACGGCGAAGAGGACGCAGAAGCCGATCACCATCGTGGCGACTACGCCGAGGAAGTCGTGCCGGAACCCAAAGTGCTCCTCCAGGAACGCCACGACGGTGGTGGTTCTGATGCCGTCGGCCAGCAGCAGGGGCTGGTCCAGGTCGCCGAACTGGGAGGTCAGGAGCCCGTACAGCGTCCAGGACACCGGGTTGGCCCAGTAGTACCACCTCCACCACACTGGGATCAGCTGCATTATTATTTGGTAACGGAATCGTTAACCAAGCACAACAGGATGGTGCCGACTAGCAAGTGTATGATTGTTGTTCTGATCAGGTACAAGCGTGTAGATCAAGACAGGCAGTGTGTCTACCATGCTAAGCTGAATATACTTAAATTTGTTTATTTGTTTTCCTTAATGTTCGACAAAACTACAAAACTGTATCCATGTGCATGTGTTGTGCTGGTTCACAGCATGGATAAAAGAATGAGTACCCTATTTATTTGGAAGGAAAAGGAAAAATTGACAAGCCCAATGGTCCAGTGCTGACGCGGTTGTGTGTGCACAGTGATCGATCTTACTAGTGTATGGAAGCCCATATGGCCCGACACGTTCTGTACAGGCCAGTCAAACATATTAGGGCCCACCTATCACCAACTTGCCTTATCACAAAAATTATGTGATGTTTTCCTATTGCATGGAATTGCTTGTTCAACTCTACGGTGCTGATGAAACCCTTCTCCCAAAAAAATAAGAAAAAAAACTCTAGAGTGCAAATAAGAACAAATCTTAGGTCATACGCACCAATTATTGGTTTGGATATTGTGCATTTCAAAAAATTCTCCACTAGAAGACCATACGACCTACTAGTATACTTGATTTTCCCAAAAGGCTTGCACTGGACAAAACACCCTAGGACTCAACCATACCCAGATTGCCAAACGGAAACGGAACTGGAAGTCCACCGTAGGACGGAAGTTTTTGATTCAGATCATGGGGGTGATATTCGTTCCATACCTTTCTTGGGATCATGAACCCGCAGAAGAGATTCCATAGCGTGTAGAATGGGGCGGCAATGATAGGCGCGACCATATGGTTTGGTGTGATCGCCGTTGTCATCATGCCATAAAAGGTGAAGTACAACAGAGTGAAGTACATGAAGAACAGGAACCACAAGAACTTCACTGCTGTCCACTCAAACGAACCCAGGCTGTAGAAAATTGTACCATAAACAAGTGACTGTACAAGAATGTAAGGGAACTCCACAGTAACCTGCCGAAGAACAATGCGTTAGAAAGTGCTATGATGATGAGCACTGGATGGATACACTGAGGGATATAGAAGTTCCGTATAAGAAATATATATACCAGAGAGAATGCGAAAGGTAATGCCGAATACATCCCAGCAGCTCGCTCTCTATATGATACGAATCTTTCGATGGAAATCACAGGCTGAACAGATGTGGCATTAGTGATTCCTATGAAAAGCACTGCTGCATACATGGCACCCATGGCATTGAATATATCATGTTGGGTCTCCCTGACAATTATAAAACGACATTACAGTTAGCTCGCTGTGAATATAATTATGGAAATCGGTGTCAGAACCATCAGATGACATACCTTCTAGATCCAAATTTCCAACAAATCGTCCCAAACATCAAGGAGATGATGACAGTGTAGAAAAACCGAACTGCGGTGTATTGAGGATTCCTCCAGTATGATAGGTTTTGCTTCCATAAGCAAGCAATAAACTGAGCACAGAATGGTTGAGCATACTTGGTAGAGAAAGTAAGCTCTTTCACTTCACTGTTCGGTTTGCTCAAGGCCTCGACGATTTCTTTGGTCTGCCTGAAATACAATAACACAAACAGGTATGAGTGACGGAAAAACAACTATGAAACACATAGTGCAATTAAAAGGGATATTGTGTTTACAGAAATAATTTCGACTGTCGATAGTATTCAGCAAAATCCACTCCAAGAATCTGCTCCATTTGTGTACTCGTGACATCCAACATCCATGCAGCAGGATTATAGCCATCCCTGATTTTAGGCACCCCTGGAACTGCCTGTTTGTAAACTTCAGAGTGTAAGTACAAAGGCCTTGTCTAAGTTTCTTCAGTGAGAAAACACACACTGCAGAACATACCTGGAAAAACTCAACCAGATTCCGCGATTTGGAACCCAAGGGACCAGCATATATGAGTTGCCCTCCACGCTTCATAAACAAAAGCTGAGGAGAATATGCATAAGTTAGGAGAGGACAATGGTGGAGTCATCATATATCCTTAACAGTAGCAGTACAAGATAAAATCACGTACAATACATATTATTAAGATAAATGGAACTTTCAAAGAGGTCATGTACATTCCATATTATTAAGATAAATGGAACTTTCAAAGAGGTCTGAGATAAAATTATTTTTAGGTGTCATATTCACTGTTAAAAACGGATATTTTGTGGAAAAAATAACCTCATCAAAGGATTCAAATATGTCAATACTTGGCTGATGGATGGTGCACACGATTGTCCGCCCTGTATTAACAATATTTCGTACAGTTCTCATCACAATGGCTGCAGACCTAGCATCCAACCCTGACGTAGGTTCATCCATGAATACAATGGAAGGATTTGCCACAAGCTCCGCAGCTATCGTCAACCTTTTGCGTTGTTCCGTAGACAGACCATTAACTCCTGGCAGGCCAACAAGAGCACCACTTAACGGATTCAGCTCAACAAGTTCCATTACCTCTTCCACAAAGGCCTATGAAAAAGAAAACAGCAAAGATCGAAAGGTCAACATTATGATGTCTGGAACAATGAAACATATAGCTTCAGCCAATGCATACCCTTTGAGTGTCATCATTGACATGAGAAGGCAACCGGAGGCATGCCGAGTATAACAAAGACTCAATCACAGTCAAGCAAGGTGAATGGACATCATTTTGTTCACAATAACCGGATATCCTTGTGAAAGTCTCTTGGTTCTTAGGATATCCAGATATAGAAATGCTTCCTTCTATGAGTCCTCCAGTCTTCCGGCCGGCTAAAACATCCATGAGGGTGGTTTTACCAGCACCACTGACTCCAACAAGGGCTGTTAGTACCCCTGGCCTAAATGCGCCAGTGACATCAACAAGCAACTGAAGGCGGTCTTCTGCTATCCCTTGCTTTTTCAATTCCTGCGAGCATAAGTGGGTGAATGCATAAATTATAATTCTTTTAAACATTTTTTTTGTCATGCATATGGACAACATCTGACATACCTCTGGTACATCAACGTAGTAGTTTATATTCTTAAAACACATAGAAAGGGGTTGAAAGGGTAACACCATGCCCTTCTGTTCCTTGAGCTTAAGCCCTGCAGCGCAGTGAATACGGACGATGGGAATCACACTTAGTAAAAGGTGAAAATATCTTGTGATGTAAGAGCTGGATTGAAATAATTCATTTATCTAGCTTTACCATTCAGTGAATTTGAATGCAGGTAAGATCTCAGCTCTAGGGCTACTCTGTCACTCCTCCTAGATTCCTTGTTTCGAATTGCATCCTTGGACACAACAGCTTGCATATTCCCAATTGCTGTCAACGATAATCACTTTGGAGAATGAGAAGCTATTTTGAATAAGCTCAAACTGCTTGGGTCTTATAAGGTAGTGTGAACTTACGGTTGAGAATTGTCAAGAACAATGTAAATAAGGCATTCAAAACAATCGTGTACCCTAACAATGCTCCTACTCCAATCCAAAACCAATATTTTTCCTTGAATAATCCATATCCAGTGAGTACAGCTTCACCTAATGTGATATTCTGATCTGCAAATGGCTGCCATCAAACAAAAGTAAATTAAGTATCAGTTACAAATACTGAACTATTATTCCACAAAAAAGAATACTGAACTATTTTAAGGCTAATTACAACTTTTCTTGGTAAAATGCCTTATTGTAAGTTCATGAGAACAATATACTATGTCTTAAGTAATTTGGGTTTCCACATTATTACACCCACAAAAATCCATGTGTTGTGTGTTGTTGTTGCGTACAACTAAATCAAAAAATATAACAGACTGCCTCGGAGAAGGATTAAAATCAAGTATCACCTTGCTCCAAGAATGCCCATGGAATTCATTTACCGATATAGCATTTTGTGCATACATCATAGGAGATATCCAGTAACCCCAAATCCACCAGACTGGTATGCTTTCTGTTAGATAGTCAGAAACAGGTTGTAACATGTTAGATGTATAGGTTCAAAATGTAACCGCAGGTAGTTGAAATTATTTCAGAGAAATCAACCTTTGGTTATGATGAATCCTCCAAGAATCATAACAACCAACAAAGCAAACGATCCAAAGGTATTAGCAACTATCATATTTCGGCCCAAAGATGCCATGACCCGGAAAAGAGCCAAAGATGTCTGGTGCAGAAAGAAAAGCAACAGAAATTGTCCCAGAAATCTGCACATCACAAACTAAGATCAATCTTGAAACTAAAAGATCTCTGAAGTTCTGAACAGAAAACAAAATTAACAAAGTCGATGTCATGTCAGTTACCTTGTGAATTGGGGATCATAACCAACCACATAATATGTTACAAGTGTCCACATTCCTGATTCAATAAGTGAGGTTGGAATGCTCAGGAGCCATGAAGGAAGCGTATAAGCCCACGGTGGATAGAAATGCAAATCTCTGTGCTTGTAAAGAACTGGAAGCTTCGCCACCAACATTGAGACTTCAGTAAAGCCGTTGAATAGAATCATCACTATTGCAAAATAGAGGGCTCCAAGATAAATGATACCATCATCAACTGAATCATGGTGCATTGTTGTTCGAAAAAATACAGTCATTGTGATGAGGGCCACAAGTAGAAGCTGGCACAAAGAGATCATGTCAGAACATCCTTGATTGATTGTGGAGAGAATTCATATGTTGTCATAATACTATGACATTGTCCAAGACGTAAACAGAGAACACTTGTCATATCAAACTTGTGACTGGATATAACAAACATTTAAGCGCAAATGGTAAAGTTACGGTAACCATTGCGCTTAGCCTTTCCCGACTCCGATAACCAATTCCGTCTGTAGGTGTGGCATTACTCACATTTAAGTATACTAGGATTGCATTTATACACAAACTAGGAAGAAAAAACAAGCATTTCTAATAACTCAACACTTTACATTTCAGAGTTTGTTATATAGTTGCCTTAGCAAGGCCAATATAGTCCTTGATTTGTACGTTGAGCCATGCATAGGCTTTCTGTGTCAATTGTCAAATAGTGTGATAGCTACCCTGTGCATGTACGTATTGTATGATAATAATAGAAAGTCAGCAAACCGCAGTTCAGTTACAGCTGCTAAGGAAAATAGGAATATGGTAAGAATTCTGACAGAAATCTAGCACTTAATTTGGTGGACACTAATATTGAAGTAAGATATTACAGTTGCTTAGAGGTGTAACATTTTAAATAACTCTCACAAAAGAATATCTAACCGTTAACTTGCTGCCTTTTGGTGAACTGTCAAAGTCTTTCATTGACAGTTGGTTGGGATATATTAGTTTTTTAAAACAGAAAAATAAATAAAAAGGATGTAGGTAGCACCACCTATAATCCAATAGTCCCTTTCACATATATCCACTTAAATGTGAAATGAAATATCTTCCATTCGAAAAACATGAAATCAGATAGCACATGATTTGTTTTCTTAGAAATTAATTTTAACGATTAATTCATAAAGAAAAATTGATATGCTCTAGTATACCACATTACACCGTGCAATTGCACAGGGCAATTGGCTAATTGGTTCTAACCTCTAACTCGTGCCATGGTACTAGTCTAGAAGATGCATCTCTTGGATTAAAGTACCTGAATGAATTTGAAGACGTAGATGAATGAGTTCCTTTTCATCAGCAGACGCTGCCACTGGAAGCTGGACTTTAGAATCTCAAGCCTCTTGACACCGTAATTTGAAGTTGAAAGAGCAGCGGGATGATTATGTTTTCTATTGTATGGCCTATCTAAATCATCATGCAGCCTCTTACCAATAACAAATGTTTTGAAGGCTTCAGCAAATTTTGTTACGGACACAAACTGGTATGGATAATCATATTGACACCAGTACTGCTGTTGATCTTTCTTGGACAAAACCTGCAGCGCAACAAACGTGAATATACCAGAAAAAAACCAGTTGGCATAAATGTACAAACATAGAAAGAGTGGAACTGCTTACTTCTTGCAAAAAATCTGCCACATTTTTCCTTTCAGGGCACCTGAATCCCATTGCAGCAAAAAAATCAGCAGCATATTCACGTGGTCCCTGGTATACAATTTGACCTTCAGATATAAGGATGACATCATCGAATAGCTCATAAGTTTCTGGAGCAGGCTGCAGCAGGGATATGATTGTAGTGCCATCCAGAGCATGTGTGGAATCCCTCAAGTACTTGATAATCTGATATGTGGTTGCACTATCAAGGCCAGTTGAAATCTCATCCATGAACAGAACACGAGCAGACCCAACTAACAATTCACCTGCAAAAGCAACCAATATTAGAACATAAATTCACCACAAATACCCCTAATACAAATGATAGTAGGATATCCTCCTTTTTTGAAATAAATAAATAACAGTAGCATGTTTCAACCTGTTGTTAGACGCTTCTTTTGCCCACCGGAGATTCCTTTGACCATTTCATCTCCGACAATAGTGTCAGCACAGATGTCCAGCCCTAAAATCTTGACTAGATCAAAATTAGCAATTCAGAAATCTCACCAGAATCAGGTAATCAATATCTTAATAGGATTGGTTCCCGAAAAGAACAGAAAAACGAAGCATCATGTGGCTGAACATATAAAATTCTCAAATCAAGAATATAACTACTTCCCAAAACATGGAAACAACCTTTGAAAATGAGTTAGTGAGTAACACTAGCACAATCTTGTGAAAATATACTAGTAAATTGCAATTTGCACCACCTAATTTGGTACCCATTTCACAAAATAAGAGTCATCTCTCTTTACATAACATCACGTATTCTAAGTCGTGAGATAAAATAGTAAAAGTAATGAGATAAAAGAGAATAACAAAGCAGGACAGGTGCCAGATTATACATGCATGCTACTACTGACGAGTCCAAATACGAAAGAAAGGAAACATGTAAGACTGACCAAGCTAAAAAAAGCAACGACTGAAAGAAACACGTCGCTACCTTCATTACGTACTCAGCCACGAGACTCGTCTGTCTACCTTCAAGAGCCAATGCCTGAAAAGTAGTAGAAATTATGACACAGTCACAGACGAAATAGCGTGGGTACATCTATCCAAAGCTTGCTGGGTGCATCATACCTTCATGAATACATCAAGGTCCTCATCAGGCTTGATCCCAGCATTCTTTTCTCTCCTCAAAAGTTCAACGAGCATATCTGCAAGTCGGCGGTGTCAAAATGGAAATCATCAAGGAAAGCCGCCAAATGACATGGTGGTGCGATAACCTACCATACTTTATACCAACACCCTGACAGCGCCCAGCAAACTCCAGGGTTTCTCTGACGGTCATCTCTGAAGCATGCCAGTCTTGCTGACTTACATAAGCAGATGTTCTTTGAGGCACAAATTCGTTTAGATGGTGGCCATTGTAAGTAATGCTCCCAGACATCTGCAATTAGTGATGATGGTCAGTAATAATATATTGTTTCAGATATTGCACCTTGATTGATAGGTTCACCATACCTATCAGGATAGTTTTTTTTTAGGAAACAAGAGGGGATTTCTCCCTACTGCATTTTTATAAACTTTATAAAATAATTTTACATAGTACAACAAAAGCAGAGAAGGCTTAGGGTAGCTAATAACAGAGTTCTGAACTTCTAATATGATAGGGATGAGTGTTTCCCAGATAATCATTTTCAGGAGCAGGATAATGCCAATCTATCTCTCCACTTATCATCAAGTGATACACACATACAGACTTGGTCGAAAGTGATCGGATAGCAAAGATTTTCCCATCATCTATGAGTAATGAGCATAAAAAAATAAATGTAATTAATCTGATATCACACCTTTAGTCCAGGACCAAGTCGACCGGCAAGTGCTAAAAGCAAGGTGGTCTTCCCGGAACTTGGAGGGCCCAAAAGCAGTGTCATTCTGCAGCAAGAAAAGAACATAAAATTTATCCGAATTACTAAGTTCTCTTCACAAAGATCTCTGTCAGAGCTTAGTTGATGCACCGGAAAAGCACCAGTTAATTTTCAATTGTACCTTGATGGGCGAATGATCCCATTAATGTTGTCCAATATAGGTAACTTCATTCGTCCCCCTCTGTAGATCCTCAGGTGCCTCAGAAATGCCTTAATTTCACAGAAAAGTAAAGTAAGAACCTCGACAGTACATTGGTAATTGCTCTGCTTTCGGTAAATGATTCACTTCACGGGCAGTAATTAAATCGTAACAGAAACCCGTGACCAATATTACTTTCACCTAGATAGAGAACTGGGAGGGATGGAAATTTGCAATTCCAGCTGTGTATCACGGGCCAATTACCTCTGTCATGTTGCATATGAAGTTGGGGATGGTGGGCAGCGCCCTGCTGCCGACATGCACGTACGCGTCCACCGTCAGGTCCTCGTACCTCACTTCGATCTTGGGGAACTCTATGTGCACCCTGCATCGAAGAACAAAACAAAAAGGATTCAGCACAAAGCAGAACCCAACAATTTTTGCGCTGGAAACCAAAGCCGATGCAGCTCGATCTAGGTGTGGCTGCAAATCTGCAAGCCAACAAATGGCAAGTCTGGGCAGTGGGGCCATTGTCAGCGGCTCCAGTTATGCACATCTAGAACTTTTTTCCTAGAACAAGCTCGAACAGAACGTATACAATCTTCTGCCACTAAAAAACATGCAGACGGCATGGAGATGGAGCAACCATTTTCAAGCAGCGGCTGGATGCGCCGGTTGGGCCCACGTGTCAGCCAATTGTGGCGGCGGCGGGACCCTGTGGTCAGCCACTAGTAGATTTGCAGAGCGCGCGCGCGCAGAGACCGAGGAAGGCACGCTGATGACCATGGTGCACCGAGGCGGGAGCGAAAAAAATGTAGTATGCAGATGCACGGTTCGGTGTACTCACGCGTCGAAGCGGGCGCGTATGCGGCGGAAGAACTGCTCGGCGTCGCCGGAGTCGGCGAGCAGGCGGTCGACGAGCGCGGTGCGGTCGCCGGAGGAGAGACCGGTGACGTCGACCTCGCAGAGCGCGTCGTCGCCCTCGACCGGGCCGCCCGCGCCGGAGGCGCCGGGCGCGACGGCGGGCGACCTGAGCAGGCCCCTCCTGGCGCGCGCGACGGTGGGGAGGCGCTGCAGCGCGGCCCAGCGCAGCGCCTCCTGCTCGTCCTCCGCCTCCCGCCACGACCCCGACCGCGAGAAGGGCGCCTCCGCCGCCCACATCGCCCCCGGCCCGCCAAAACCCTAGCCACTGCCCGCTGCCCTCTCCTCCTCGCCGCAGCAGCTAGCAGCAGTAAGTAGGAGTAGCTAGCAGCAAATGGTGGCGGTGGCAGGGGTGGGTGGTGCGGTGGTAGGGGGATTTATGGAGGGGCGTCCTCGCTCGGAACAGTGGCAATGGAGGTGGGGGTGGGCTGGCTGGCTGGATCCACCGACTCGCCGCATTTATGGGCGCCGCGCTCTCTCTCCTCGCTGTGCAGCGCAGTACTACTCCGCTTGTCTCTCTCTCTCGCTGATCGTTGGGGTTTTTGATCGGGTGGGGCGGAAGATGGGAAAAACGAGAGAGGGAGGGGGAAAGGCGACAGCCTGCCTTTCGGGTTTAGACCGTTCGGTTTGGTCCGTTTGGGCCACCAACCCGTGCTGCAAGTACCTGCGCTTCTAGAAATTTACTAGCCCGTTTAGTTGCTTATATATACCAAACCTTACTCTTTCACCATGCCTTGGCCTATCTAGCCCGGCCAGCCCGCTAAACTGAAGTTTGACAAATATACTCCCTTTGTTCCTAAATATAAGTCTTTTTAGATATTTCAAATGGACTACAATACGAATATATATAAACATATTTTAGAGTGTAAATTCACTCATTTTGCTTCGTGTGTACTCCCTTATTGGAATCTCTAAAAAGACTTACATTTGGGAACATAGGGAGTACCACATTCTGTGAAGACTTGCATCTTTTTATGACATATCGTTGAAAACCGAGGAGGTTCTGCAAGCGATAAATATGCACACTATTTCATCCTTGATAAAATGATACTACAATTGTGATGATCTCAAAAGTTAGTCCGCTGAAAAAGGTAACCTATTTTAGACCGGTCAGCTTGTGTAATGTGGTATATAAAATCATTGCAAAAATGGTATCGACTCGTTTGAGGTTTTTTCTGCTAGATATTATTAGTCCAACTCGAAGTGTTTTTGTGCCTGAAAGAATGATTACGAACAATGTAGTAGTGATTTATGAGTGCTTTCGTAGAATAAAGAACAAGAGCAAAGGCAAAAAGAATATGTGTGCTATCGTAGCGATCCAACCTCAAATGGTTGAATCTCTGTGCATAAGTGTCATCCCTGGATCGGTAATGCTGACACACACAGTACTTGAAGAATTTTTAACAAAGTGCAATCACACACTTATTACATCGAATATCTCAAAAAAAGCACTTATTACAATAATATGGTTGAAGGCCATCTAATGAAGATAACAGCGGAAGGCTTCGAAGGCAAAAGTGAGTCCATCAACTTCAACGGCATAGCTGAGTGCAAAACAACGACCTAGTGCACCTTACTCTTCGTCTGAAAAGTCTGCAACATAATACGTTGCAGCCCGAAACGAGTCAGCACATGGAATATGCTGGCAAAATAACATTGTAGAGCAAAGAACAACAATAACTCCTATCACTACATGCATATATGGCTGGTGGAGGCTCTATGGTTATCATGTTTGTGTAAAGCCAATTTTTCCCTACTACAAAGGAATAAATTTTATTTAGCTACCAAGTTGTTTAATAAAATATTGAGAAGGTTCCTCCAACTCAATCCCAATTAAAAAGTAATTTAACAGCCCAACAAAATTAATTAAAGTGATGAGATCAAATCAATAATTCAAGAACCAGATACTCGAGATGTCCATAATCGGGGACACGGCTAACCATGATTAGTTTGTACACTCTGCAGAGGTTTGCGCACTTTTCCCCACAAGACTCGATCTCCTCTGTTGTATTTCTCGCACTGCATGGTGTTTGAGAAACGGACGACCAAGACACAGTCTTTCCGAAGAGGTCCCCTTAACCGATAGATAGGCCGGTACACCTACAATCCCCTACATCTGCTAGCCCATCATGGAAAGGTTTCCCACAACTTACTCAACTATGCCAGAGCCCATAATGGCTTGTGACTGCACACGGAAGTTTCTAGCATGAATAATCTTATGATCCCTTTGAGTCTGGGTGACGAACCATAGAATGATCACACGGGTACTCCGGGATATCCCAGGACAACGCTGGATTGCTCCAGGTGCCCAGACAACCACTGGGTACTCCACGGTGCCTCAACCAATCCACCCAGATGTGTATTAAAGTAGCCACCTTAAGTTAACCATTATTTAACAACTCTCACATCTGTCATGGATACACTCAACCAAACCACGTCTACGAGCATATCATAGTAGTATAAGCATAACGTAGAAGTAACTCCCAAGGTTTGCATAAAGGACAATAGGTTCTACCTCATCAACTACTTTCCAATACCCACATGTTAAGCAGATCCTACTCATGCAATGTTTGAGGGTTGAAACTGTTGGAAATATGCCCTAGAGGCAATAATAAATTGGTTATTATTATATTTCCTTGTTCATGATAATCGTTTATTATCCATGCTAGAATTGCATTGATAGGAAACTCAGATACATGTGTGGATACATAGACAACACCATGTCCCTAGTAAGCCTCTAGTTGACTAGCTCGTTGATCAATAGATGGTTACGGTTTCCTAACCATGGACATTGGATGTCGTTGATAACGGGATCACATCATTAGGAGAATGATGTGATGGACAAGACCCAATCCTAAGCCTAGCACAAAGATCGTGTAGTTCGTATGCTAAAGCTTTTCTAATGTCAAGTATCAATTCCTTAGACCATGAGATTGTGCAACTCCCGAATACCGTAGGAGTGCTTTGGGTGTGCCAAACATCACAACGTAACTGGGTGGCTATAAAGGTACACTACAGGTATGTCTGAAAGTATCTGTTGGGTTGGCACGAATCGAGACTGGGATTTGTCACTCCGTGTAAACGGAGAGGTATCTCTGGGCCCACTCGGTAGGACATCATCATAATGTGCACAATGTGATCAAGGAGTTGATCACGGGATGATGTGTTACGGAACGAGTAAAGAGACTTGTCGGTAACGAGATTGAACAAGGTATCGGGATACCGACGATCGAATCTCGGGCAAGTATCGTACCGCTAGACAAAGGGAATTGTATACGTGATTGATTAAGTCCTTGACATCGTGGTTCATCCGATGAGATCATCGTGGAGCATGTGGGAGCCAACATGGGTATCCAAATCCCACTGTTGGTTATTGACCAGAGAGTTGTCTCGGCCATGTCTGCATGACTCCCGAACCCGTAGGGTCTACACACTTAAGGTTCGATGACGCTAGGGTTATAGGGAATATATATACGTGGTTACCGAATGTTGTTCGGAGTCCCGGATGAGATCCCGGACATCACGAGGAGTTCCGGAATGGTCCAGAGGTAAAGATTTATATATGGGAAGTCCTGTTTTGGTCACCGGAAAAGTTTCGGGTGCTATCGGTAACGTACCGGGACCACCGGGAGGGTCCCGGGGGTCCACCAGGTGGGGCTACCTGCCCAGAGGGTTGCGTGGGCCAAGTGTGACGGGGGACCAGCCCCAGGTGGGCTGGTACGCCCCCCCCCCCCACCAGGGCCCAAGGCGAAGAGAGAAGGGAAAAAGGGGAACCCTAGGCTCAGATGGGCCTAAGGCCCACCTAGTGGTGCGCCCCTTCTCTCCTCCCTTGGCCGCCCCCCTAGATGGGATCTAGGGCTAGCCGCCACCCCTAGGGGTGGAAACCTAGGTGGGGGCGCAGCCCCTCCCTTTCCCCTATATATAGTGGGGTTTTGGGCTGCCATACACACGAGAACATCTCCTTCTTGGCGCAGCCCTACCCCTCTCTCTCCTCATCTCTTGCGGTGCTTGGCGAAGCCCTGCTGGAGTACCACGCTCCTCCACCACCACCACGCCGTCGTGCTGCTGCTGGATGGAGTCTTCCCCAACCTCTCCTTCTCCCCTTGCTGGATCAAGGCGTAGGAGACGTCACCGGGCTGTACGTGTGTTGAACACGGAGGTGCCGTCCGTTCGGCACTAGGATCATCGGTGATTTGGATCACGACGAGTACGACTCCATCAACCCCGTTCACTTGAACGCTTCCGCTTGGCGATCTACAAGGGTATGTAGATGCACTCTCCTTCCCCTCGTTGCTAGATTACTCCATAGATTGATCTTGGTGATGCGTAGAAAATTTTGAATTTCTGCTACGTTCCCCAACAGTGGCATCATGAGCTAGGTCTATGCGTAGTTTCTATGCACGAGTAGAACACAAAGCAGTTGTGGGCGTTGATTTTGTCAATTTACTTGCCGTTACTAGTCTTATCTTGATTCGGCGGCATCGTGGGATGAAGCGGCCCGGACCGACCTTACACGTACTCTTACGTGAGACTGGTTCCACCGACTGACATGCACAAGTTGCATAAGGTGGCTAGCGGGTGTCTATCTCTCCCACTTTAGCCGGATCGGATTCGATGAAAAGGGTCCTTATGAAGGGTAAATAGAAATTGGCATATCACGTTGTGGTTTTCGCGTAGGTAAGAAACGTTCTTGCTAGAAACCTATAGCAGCCACGTAAAAACTTGCAACAATAATTAGAGGATGTCTGACTTGTTTTTGCAGCATATGCCTTGTGATGTGATATGGCCAAAAGGATGTGATGAATGATATATGTGATGTATGAGATTGATCATGTTCCTGTAATAGGAATCACAACTTGCATGTCAATGAGTATGACAACCGGCAGGAGCCATAGGAGTTGTCTTAATTTATTTATGACCTGTGTGTCAACATAAATGTCATGTAATTACTTTACTTTATTGCTAAAGCGTTAGCCATAGTAGTAGAAGTAATAGATGACGAGAGAACTTCAAGAAGACACGATGATGGAGATCATGATGATGGAGATCATGGTGTCATGCCGGTGACAACGATGATCATGGAGCCCCGAAGATGGAGATCAAAAGGAGCAAAATGATATTGGCCATATCATGTCACTATTTGATTGCATGTGATGTTTATCATGTTTTACATCTTATTTGCTTAGAACGACGGTAGCTTAAATAAGATGATCCCTGACTAAAATTTCAAGAAAAGTGTT